AATTTTGAAAGTACATTAATAAAAGTGAAATATATTATATATACCATAATATAATTTATAATATAATATTAGCAAATATGAACCAATTAATATCATTTGTTAATAAATAATATTATATTATATAAAAACCCAAAATTGAGGGACCATTTTTGTAAAAAATAGTTCAACACCAAAAACATTGACATAAAGTTTTTGGGCGTCTTAACAAGTTTTTTTAAAATATTTTAAATACAAAACATTTTATTAACAATTTTATAGGATAATATTTGAAAAAATATCTTATAAAAAGATGAGTTTATATAACACTTTCTAAAAAATGTCGTATAAATTTGTTGATGTGATGTTTTATATTAAAAGTGTCATAAAAAACTTATTAAGACATCCAAAATCGTCCTATCAGTTAATTACAACACATTTAGATATGATCCTTTATTTTTTGGTACTATAAAGCGGTCTATTAGGACGCTTAGAAATTGGTGGCGTCCTACAGGCTCAATTTTGTTGTAGTGCATGGACCAATACTCATCTATATATGTTAGAACCTCCATTCTCTCCTTGTGAGCTCTTTCGGAGAATAAAAGTTGTTTACTAAACACTTACCGGGTAAATGTTTAGCGGCAAAAGTTTCACCCTCACTTACCTTATCAGGTTACATTCCTAGTCATCAAAATGGATTGTTAATAAGCATCTCTTACTCGGAAAGATCGTCTCCTCTTGCTGGGTAAGATTCTTGACCGAATACCAAACTTGTAGGACCATTTTGTAACAAAATAGCTCACCAAATAACACCAAAATAGTCAAATTTGATGTCGAGTCGAAAAACGGTGTAAAAAATGGGATTTGTTGTTGAACGGGAGACGTTTTTCAGCATCGTTTACCCGGTAAGCGCTTATGATGTAAGAGTCTTCTTCGATCGTCATCACTTATTAGGTAAGATTCATAGTTCAACCAGTAATATAAGTGATACCCAGTAAACGCTTACTTTTTGATGTTGATTTTATGAAATGACAAGTGGTTAAATGGGAATGTAACAGGGTTGGGATTGATTTGCCAACAATTGAAGTCAAATTTGAGCATATGACTGTGGAGGCAGATATTAACACTGGAAGTAGAGCTTTACCCAGCTTTATAAACTTCCATATTGATATATTTGAGGTACAAATCATTATATATACATACAACTTTTGTATATATATACCCTAAAACACATACCTACCCTCCTCATCTTTGATGAGTTTTTCGATTCTTTATCTCTTCGAAGGTTGGGATCTCTCAGTAATAACCCTTTCCCAACTTTCTTCAACGTTTCTAATTAATGAGTTCGTTTTTCCCCCGAATTTGATTAAATATGATCGATTTTAGGTGTTCTTGAACTTATTCCATCTCCTTCCGAATTCAAAAAAGCATATAACGATCCTTGATGATGTTAGCGGTGTCGTTAAGCCTAGCAGGTGAGGAGACAGACCATGATATAACTCAATTATGATGACTTCACGAGATCTAACGTCATAAAACATGATTGTAGAATGACTTTACTTTTGGG